ACCCAAAAAGTGACACTTTCAATAGGGGGTAACACTTAAAAAGTGACAATTTAAAATTCACAATAAATAAAAATAATAAATTTTTTAGTCTATTAAATTATTCTTTTCTTTGAAATCCTCTAAAAATTCTTCGAAATGTTCTAAAATATAATCTGGAGAATTATAACAAAATTCATTAATTTCTAACATATACGTATCTAACAATTCATTTGGAATTTCAAACGATCTTAAATATGTAATTGAATTTTGTATCTTCTCATTTATTTGAGAAAGTTTTTCTTCAGCATTTTCCAATAAAAATCTTAATGGATTCAAATTGGCTTCTTGATTCTGAACAAAATTTAATACTTGGTATAAACGTGATTGAACTTCTCTTTTCAATTTTGTTTTATAATCTGTCAATCGAGGCTCGCGAATTCTAATTGAAGGAATAAAACCCGTTTGAAGTAAATCGTTTTTAATACGATAAAAGTAATTGGGTGCAACTTCTTCTAAAAGATTTTTGACAAAAACATCAATTCTTTGATTTTTAACGCAGCCAAAATCGTGATATTTTATCTTTTTAAATAAAGATTCAGAAACGTTATTCACAACGGTTAATTCATTTGGTCTGGCAGCGGCTATCCACATTCTTATATACGAAAAAAAGAGATCTGACATTGTGTCAGATCTCAGTAAAAGTGACATTTACATGTCAAAAAAATAGAATGAGTTTAAGTAATTAAAATTGAGGGTGAGAGTAGTATTGTATGAAATAATATCTCTCACCCTCCAATTCATCCTATGGCGCCGAAAAAATTTTGGTGAAATGCGACCACATTTCACCAAAATTTCTCGGCGCCATATAGAGAACTAGAGCCTGTGAGGTACTGATACTATCCATGTACCTCGCAGGCTCTAGTTCCAAGCCAAAATGGCTAAAAATTGCCCGCAATTGTTCACATTGCGGGCAATTTTTAGCCATTTTGGCTGGGAATTGGAGGTGAGAGTAGTATTGTATGAAATAATATCTCTCACCCTCCAATTCATCCTATGGCGCCGAAAAAATTTTGGTGAAATGCGACCACATTTCACCAAAATTTCTCGGCGCCATATAGAGAACTAGAGCCTGTGAGTACTGATTACTATCCATGTACCTCGCAGGCTCTAGTTCCAAGCCAAAATGGCTAAAAATTGCCCGCAATTGTTCACATTGCGGCAATTTTTAGCCATTTTGGCTGGGAATTGGAGGTGAGAGTAGTATTGTATGAAATAATATCTCTCACCCTCCAATTCATCCTATGGCGCCGAAAAAATTTTGGTGAAATGCGACCACATTTCACCAAAATTTCTCGGCGCCATATAGAGAACTAGAGCCTGTGAGGTACTGATACTATCCATGTACCTCGCAGGCTCTAGTTCCAAGCCAAAATGGCTAAAAATTGCCCGCAATTGTTCACATTGCGGGCAATTTTTAGCCATTTTGGCTGGGAATTGGAGGGTGAGAGTAGTATTGTATGAAATAATATCTCTCACCCTCCAATTCATCCTATGGCGCCGAAAAAATTTTGGTGAAATGCGACCACATTTCACCAAAATTTCTCGGCGCCATATAGAGAACTAGAGCCTGTGAGGTACTGATACTATCCATGTACCTCGCAGGCTCTAGTTCCAAGCCAAAATGGCTAAAAATTGCCCGCAATTGTTCACATTGCGGGCAATTTTTAGCCATTTTGGCTGGGAATTGGAGGGTGAGAGTAGTATTGTATGAAATAATATCTCTCACCCTCCAATTCATCCTATGGCGCCGAAAAAATTTTGGTGAAATGCGACCACATTTCACCAAAATTTCTCGGCGCCATATAGAGAACTAGAGCCTGTGAGGTACTGATACTATCCATGTACCTCGCAGGCTCTAGTTCCAAGCCAAAATGGCTAAAAATTGCCCGCAATTGTTCACATTCCCATCTTTTGTTGGTAAGACGAAGAATATGAAATAAATTATGAAGAAGATAATGATGAATAAAATATCACTTTTTATATTTTTGACACGTAAAGTTGTCACTTTTCTGTCAAACCGTTTTTATCGTTTTCGTATATAACAACATCATAGCCAACAATTCCTTATACAAAATTCAAAAACTTGGGTGCAATCAGAACTGATTGCACCCAAGTTTTTGAACTTTCTTGAGGGAATGGAAGAGTAAGAGGTATACATTATGAATATATACCTCTTACCCTTCCATTCCCTCTCTGACAGCGGGAAATTTTGTCTGAATGTTAAACTATTCAGACAAAGTTTCCCGCTGTCAGCGAAAGAATTGTTCCATCTGGTGCATAGAGTGTGAATCTATGCACCAAATGGAGCAAGTCCCTCGCGAAATTGCCCAAACTTGCGTCGCATTTCAAAGATTGCGACCCAAATTTTGGCGATTTCTAGTAGAGATGGAGTATTTTGAGTCACTGACCTATATGCAGTGGCTCAAAGGGCTTCTTCTCTACTTTGAAGCAAGGAAACTTTCCTCGAAATTTTGATAATTTGAAGAAAGTTTTCAAGCAATTAACAAAGGATTACTCGCTATGAGGTAAAAATTCTAGATTTTCACCTCATAGCGAGAGCTTCCTTTCATTGCTTGAAAACTTTCCCCAGCTTCAAAATTGGGGAAAGGGCTGTAAAGTCGACTCCGATACCAGCAGGTACCAGAGTATTTAAAAGAGAAGCCCTCGTACGAGTTTCTATGAAGACCTTCTCATTCAAGAAGATCTTAATAGAAAATCGTACGAGGGCATTGGAAACTCGCGTCTGGTACATGTTGGTACCAGAGTGTTTGAGATTTGAAGACTCTGGTACTAACATGTACCAGAATTTATGATGAATTTAAGATGGACCATTATAAAATGGTAGCGGTTTGTTTCAAAAAATTTTAGATGAGATTTGCATAGATATAGATTATATGATTTATACATATGAAAAATAATATATAAAAATATAATTTTGAGATAATTATGTAAATAATATTTTAAATATTTGAATTTGAGGTATAATTTTATAGTAAAATATATTATAAAGAGTATTTATATAAATATTGTAAAATAATATAAGTAATAAAAATTGAGACCCCCTCCCTGTTTTTGATGTTTTGTCACTTTTTCGGTAATTCTTATTGTTTCGTTCCAGTTCATATTTTTTCATGATTGTTGCTGGGAAATCTCACGGAAAATTTTTATCATGCACTCATTGGAGTCCAAGTTACACATAGATACATTCGTTCCAGATATCTTTATTATCGTAGAAAAGGTAATATTTTATGAGATTTGTTATTCATCGAAAATAATTTCCATAATGGAAATTTCAGAGTATTGGATTTATGAACTTACAAAAGAGAATTTTATCATTTCCATAATTTCATTTTACAAAAGAGAAAATGTCTAAAAAATGGGAATTTCTCGCATATGTTCGTACATGAGCAAATACTATACCTTTTGCGAATAAAGAATTTTTTCATAAAAAAATTTTTAGGAATTAGCATATTGGCGTTTTGCGACATTGCCAAACACCAGATTTTAACCCGACATATGAGCATAAGCTCGTATATTGGAATAAACTCGACTTATTCCATATTAAAGTTATTATAATAGTAAGGTACTTAATGTGCAAATCTAATTGAATTAGAAAATGCACATTAAGTGCCTTTTATTGGAATATGTAATACCACATATGGAATATGAAATATGATTTGCGGAATACCACATATAGAATATGTAATCAAAATACAAAGATATTTTATATAACAATTAATTTTTTTATTTTTTCAGCAAGTGTGGATAAAAAAGGATTACAAACAAATTGAATAGTTCCTATGTCCTTTTTTGTTTCAAAAAAATCAATAAATTAATGATTTGTCTCAAACAAATAAATTAATGAATTGTAATTGATTTGAGTTGCTATAGACATTATAAAAGGTTCAAAAGTTTATATAAACCTAGTAAATTAAAATAAAATTGTCATGAATTGAACATATTAGTTGGGTTCCGCTTTGGCAAACTTTCCTGTGAAATTTTTTGGGAAAGATGTTGATGGATATTTGGGAAAATTTTCGATGGTAAATTTTGGAAAATTTTATAATTTTTCCCAAAATGTTTATTTTATATATGCTAACAATATTATAAGTATAATTTCAAAATTTCTTTTTTCACAAAAAAAATTGATAATTGAATGGAACAAATAGTTCATTTTTTTAGATGTTTTTTCTAAATACTGGCGCTTATACTAGATAGAAACTTCTATCGGTATTCTCGGCGTAATACTTTCGCCTGAGTGATGCTATCTCGGACATAGTCAGAGATTAATCTTTCGACGAAATGGTAGAAATATTTCTTTTGAAATATTTTAGGGGCTCTGAGGCACAGCCAGAAGGTCTCCGCCATTTCAACCGTACCTAGAAAATTAATCTCAATATATTATGTTGGGTCGTCGCAGTGATTCACTGTTAATCATCACTTTAGCGTTGCTTCGCCAGCTTTAGAATGTATCTAAAAAAGTAGTAATTAATAAAATCTGTAATTATGGAATATTTTTACAGGCGTGAAGAATGTAAAAAAGTTCTAAAATTATGATTCTCGAACTTATTATTATTTTTGATTGGAATACTATTTTAATATTTCAATCAAAAATAATAATAAGTTCGAGAATCTAATTTTTACTTATGCACCAGTTAAACTTTTATTTTTTAAACAAACTATTTCTATTAAAAGAGTTTAAACGTTTTTTTTAATTCTTCACAGTTTCTTAATTTCGAGTTTAAAATGATATATACTAGAATATATAGATATGATTAAATTGTATGAAACATTTTAAACGTTTTTTAATTCTTCACAGTTTCTTAATTTCAAGTTTAAAGTGATATATATTAGGATATCTAGATATGATTAAATTGATTGGGTTTCATTATTTATTAATTTTGAACTCTATTTCAAATTTGATAAGATTTTTATATCTTTTAATCACTTCATTTATCAACATGGATGAACCATGCGATGAAGATATCATCACCAAGATAAAAGAATCCAGAAGGGCGAACATTGTTGTTACTGTTACACCTGAGAATTCCGACACAGATGAAGAGCCATTAAATGAAGAAGAGGCAAAAGAGATGACATTGACCAATCCAATGCCCAGGTTCTCGATTTCAATATTCATCAGGATGCATCCAAAGCTCCAGCTCCGATCATTGTGCAACTTCACATATGAACAGTTGGAATACCTCGCTGACATTATTGAATCCAACTGTGGAAGGGCCAGAAGAGGAAGGAAGGTCAAATTTTCAACAATCGAGTCTCTCTTCCTCACGCTCACATATTACTGCACATACTTGCCCTATTCAGCATTATGTCCGTTGCTACATATTTCCCAGTCATGCTATTCCAAATTAGTTACATGAACTACCAATGTTGCATTTCCAATCTTTGCGAGCTATTTTCTTCCCAATCACTGTCCACCGTTAACTTCAATGAAGAACAAATTTACAAACTTCCCTGATGCTGTTGCAGCTGTAGACAGCACTACAATTCCTTTCAAAATTCCTTCGGTAAAGGAAGAGAGGCTTTATAGTTGGGATGAAAAAAACCACTGCAACGGTATTAAGCTCCAAGTCCTCGTGTCACCAGATGGAAAAGCCATACATCAAAACGTTGAGTTTATGGCTGCAGTCCATGACAAGGAGATTTTCGATTTGTCAAAAGTCTCGGATTTTTTGACAGTAAAGCGAGGATTTGATGATTACCAATATCCTGTACTTGCCGACCGGGGCTATATTGGAATCCAGAAATATCACCTTACTGCCGTGGTGATGAAGAGAAGCCACGAAGAAGCAGACGTTGAACGCAACAACGCCATTGCCCAAGACAGGCAGATTGTCGAGCGTTTCTTTGCACGTTTCAAGTCATGCTGGTCCTGCATGAAAAATGGTTTTCGAGGTGAGCGCACATCACTTCCTCTGATCATATCAGGTTTAGTCGGTTTGACAAATTATAACATTGATGGATCACCCCTGAATGATAATGAAGAGTTACTCCTTTTCGAAGATTTTACACCAACAAAGGTTCTTCCTTCAAGCGATACCGTCGCTGCTGTTGTTGCACCCTCCATGAAACCATCAAAGCGGAACATCATTGCTGTCGCTCATCAAGCTGTCGATATCATACAGTCATCACAAGAGGCGAACTACCTTTACCCAATTAAAGGTGGTATTGTTGGTCTTCATAATATGGGACATACGTGTCATTTGAACGTATGTTTACAGGTTCTGTTCTACATATCCGAAGTGAGAACAGAAGTTTTGAAGGTTGCCAATCAGTCCTCTCCCATCGTAACAGAGATGTCAAGTGTCTTTACAAATTTGAATTCATTGAAGTCCAAAGGATTAGTCTTCGTTCCCCATGAACTTGCCACATTACTTGGTAACTCAACATATGAGGCACAAGATTGTGATGACACGATGACAAGATTGATCACAGATCTCGCAGAGCAAATACCAGGAATCTGTCAACTCTTCCGAATCACTTACCGTGATAGTGCCAACGAACAAACAAATTGCTACTCGATTCACACCAGAATTGGAGAACCAGATCTCGATCATGCCATTCAATATCATTTGTCAACTACAAGGAACACATCATGGCCACAATTCTTGACTTTCGACATTCAGAGAGAGTGGCAGAATGATTTGATTCATCAAGTCATCTTTGACTTCCCGAAAAAGTTGACACTCCCAACAGTCGAAAGGCAAAGATATCAATTGATTGCAATTGTTGCCTATTGCAATTTTCATTACGTGGTCTTTTTGCAAAAAGTGCATATTGGATCATGATCAATGATGAAGTCGCATACTCTGTTCCATCAACAGATATCAATGCATTGAAGGGATGCTCAACTGCTGAGATGCCACCTTTATGGTACAAGACTCTCGAACACAAATGGCTCGCAAAGATGCTCATTTATCGAATGGTTCAATGAAGAAAATCCATAACATTCTCCTAAGATTTTTTAATTTATCTCAATTAAAAATTTTATTATTACTTAAATTAATTTTGTAAACTATTTTTGAATAGTTTACAATTTATCCTAATGGGACCCATATGCGGGTTCAATTTCTGGTTTATCATCTAGATATATTATGAAAGCCACTCAAAGGGTGATTGATTTTAGGATGTTCTTAGAAGATTTTTCGTTCATTTATATTAATTTTGTATTCCCGATTTACATTCACTAGCAAATCAATGCATTTCACACTTTAAATGACAATTAAATTCTAGGACATTGCTAGAACTACAATTTCCATAAAAAGTTTTAGTGTAAATTGCTTAAATAAATAATTATTTTCATTATTTTTCTCCAACAAGCTTGAAAATCAAACGAAAACTTTACAAAATACTTATTTACTCATTTGTAAATATAAATTTCTAACAATTTTTATCCTGAATTTAACATAATACTGTATTTCTAAAATTTGCACTAGTTCATTCCTAATTGATGCTCGGATTTCGGTATTCCATATGTGGTATTACATATTCCAATAAAAGGCACTTAATGTGCATTTTCTAATTCAATTAGATTTGCACATTAAGTACCTTACTATTATAATAACTTTAATATGGAATAAGTCGAGTTTATTCCAATATACGAGCTTATGCTCATATGTCGGGTTAAAATCTGGTGTTTGGCAATGTCGCAAAACGCCAATATGCTAATTCCTAAAAATTTTTTTATGAAAAAATTCTTTATTCGCAAAAGGTATAGTATTTGCTCATGTACGAACATATGCGAGAAATTCCCAATAAATATTGTTTGATGTAATACTGTGATTAATATTATTCTTATATACGAAAAAAGGAGATTTGACAGAATGTCAAATCTCCTCAAAAAGTGACGGTTTACATGGCAAACAATTGTGAGCAATTTTTAGCCATTTTGGCTGAGAACTAGGGTCTGTGAGGTACATAGATAGAATCAGTACCTCGCATACTCTAGTTCTCTATATGGCGCCGAGAAATTTTCGTGAAATGCGACGACATTTCACCAAAATTTTCTCGACGCCATAGGATGAATTGGAGGGTGTGAGATACTATTACATATAATAGTACTAACACCCTCCAAAACCTCGAAAATCTCAAAATTTCCTGCAATTATCATCAACTTTGCATAGCACAATCGGCCAAAAATTCATTCAATTGTCCTTCTTCTCAATATTTCTTAACTCTTTCGATTTCTTTCAAAATATCTTTCAATAATCTTTCAATGATAAATATTATTCAAAAACGATTAGTATGAAACTTTTTTGCATTTTAAAAATATTTTATATTTCTGTTTTTATTTCAATTTTTATATTTTTATTTTCCTTTTTTTAGATGAAACTTATTTGTTTACCAATATTCCTTATTTTATAAAATTTTTCAATTGAATACTACAATAATTTTATCTCTCCTTTATTAAATTTTCGATTTTTATGTTAATTCTAATTCTTTGCACTATTTCTTGTCTAAATCTTCTAAAATTTTTATTTTAATTTAATTTGACACATAATCATCCTTTTAATTTTCGATTCAAATCCTTATCCTCTTCATTATTTTTCAATAATTTTTTTATCGTAATTTGTAAAATTCGTTCTTTTATAGCTGTTTAAATAATCCAAAACCATGATATTTATTATTGTTAATTATTCCTAATCATGTTTTTTCCATTAATTTTAATTTTTTATTTTCTGAACCATTTAAATTAATTTTGTTAAGAATATTTTTCAATATAGACTTCTGAAATAATTAAATTATTCTCAAATTCTCACAAATTATTTCATTTCAAATTTGTTTAAAATGAATTTGTACACCTTAGTTGATTCAGCTTGGCTTGAAACAGCTCTAGCACAGATTCAAAGGCGCACACCGTTAGCCATTGTTCTCACAAATGTTCCATTAGTCAACAACACTATTCGTTCATCAATTAACAAGATAACATTTTACAAAGCTCTCTTATGTAATAGACTAATTACTATTGAAGAGTACTTACATCATACATACAAACTTCAAGAGTTTACTACTTTCTACATTAAATATAATAATCGACTCTACGAGTGTTCATCCATTTTGAAACACAGAGATGACACTCTCCTTACCGATTATTTGATATTACAAAGTTCAAACGACTCTCGTATACAGGAAGAACCCTCATCAGCCAGCACTCCTCTACAACGCCAGCTTTCATCAGCCAGCACTACCAACTCTGTTCCACAGCAACAGCTCTCAACAGCCAACGCTCCTCTACAAAGCCCACTTTCTGCCAACACCCCGCCACAACGCCAGCTCTCTGCCAACGCTCCTCTTCAACGCCAGCTTTCATTAGCCAGCAGTACCAACACTCCCCCACAGCCACAACTCTCTGCCAGCACTCCCCCACAACGCCAGCTCTCTGCCAACTCTCTTCCACAGCAACAACTCTCTGCCAACACCCAGACACAACGCCAGCTCTCTGCCAACACCCAGACACAACGCCAGCTCTCTGCCAACACTCCCCCACAACGCCAGCTCTCTGCCAACACTCCCCCACAGCAACAGCTCTCTGCCAATACTCAGCCTCAGCCTCACCCATCTGTGTCTATTCCCCTTAAGCGCGGGAGACCCAAAGTTAATGTACCAAAAGATCTTAAGGTAACTATTAGAAGCCTAATTGAGCAGCATGGCCATCTTGGAATAATCTCCGCCTATAACCAAATAAATAAAGATATCGAATATGCCAAATCTCATTTTGAGGCATTTTTGGACATGAAGACGGGTATTGTTCCACAGCCAACGCCTACCCAAGCATGGTTCTCCGCTATTGAACGTTTTAAGCCCCTGAATCAAATTTCTTCTACAATTCCTTCCGGACTTATGATTGAAGAGTCTCCATTATCATTTCCATCTGAGCTGAGGAACATTAAATATCTTACAAACCCTCTTCCACATCCCCCCTCAAGACATATGGTAGAAAGAGCTTTTAGAGAGCTAGGCTTGGCACGTCCAAGGGGATCCTATCGGCCAAAAGGAAAGACAAGATACTTAGCTGCCTTTCCTAACCAAATATGGCACGTTGATATCCACTTTCTTGGCAAAAAGAGAAGTCAGATTCTTTATGCTGTGATTGATGACTGCACAAGGCTCATCATAGAATGGCAGCATCTTTCGTCAAAACATGCTAGCCAAACAGTGAAAGTAATTAAGAGAGCAATAGCCCGTTATGGACCACCACATACAATTTGGTCCGATAATGGCGGCGAGAATAAAGGCGAGTTCCTAAAGGCTATGAGGGTTCGGGGAATCAATAATGTATATATTGTCCCCCATTGCCCATACCAAAATGGGAAAATCGAGCGCTTGTGGCCTAACATAGAGAGCAGAGAGTTGTCATGGGCAAAGATTCAACAATGGGTTGAGTACTATAATGCTAAACCTCATCTAGCATTACCAACTCATTATGTGAATGGAAAACAAATTCACTATAGCCCATCTGAAATGTGGAAGAAACTTCCAATTTGGAAGAGGGGAATGCCGGCAAAATGGATTGTGGATGGAGTCTCTCAAGATTTTCTTCCAGGTTCACTTATGGCCAATGAGATGCCAGAGCTCCAAGGAATCGAAGAAGATGAATGGGAAAAAGAAGGCGAGGAAGTTGAAGAAGAAGAAAATAAGGCGAATCCGGTTGAAATAGAAGAAGATAGTAATGAAGAAGAAGAATACGAAGTAAATTATGAAGAAGAATATCAAGAAGATTATGAAGACCCTTATGAAGAAGATTATGATGATTCATTTTAATATTACGAATAAAATGACACTTTTTCTATTTTTGACACGTAAAGTTGTCACTTTTCTATCAAACCGTTTTTATCGTTTTCTTATATAACATCTTTTCTCGTGAATTGAAGACAAAAAATCATTTGAAAAAATTGAATGTGTTTTCATGATCGAAGACCAAAATTCAAAAGAGAATGTTTACTAAAAAATGCAGTGCTTCATGCAATCGCCCGAATACCAGGAGCTTCTTTATTACAAAAATACAGGAGTCGTCACTTAGGATCAACTTAATTTAGCTTTGCGTAGAATGAATGGCGAATCGTTTGATACGATTCGCAGAGCCTATGTAATTTCCAAGTCTACAGTAGCACGGGCTATAATGGGAACAGCTACATGTCGTCCTTGGCAAAAAGGTCAGAAAGGAGGTGGATTAACGCTTTTGTCCCCTCCGGACGAAACGCATTTTAAGCATCTCGTCAAAGATATGACGGACGAATTGAATTGCATTAGCACGCCATTGTCATTGCCATCTGAGTTGATTTACAAAACAAACGTATG